AGCTTACTCCGTGATTGAAATTAAGTCAATTTGCTTTGTTCTCTGTTTCTCCATCTTTTTCTTTATTTTCTTTCTTTCTTTCTTTCTTTCTTTCTTTCTTTCTTTCTTTCTTTCTTTCTTTCTTTCTTTCTTTCTTTCTTTCTTTCTTTCTTTCTTTCTTTCTTTCTTTCTTTCTTTCTTTCTTTCTTTCTTTCTTTCTTTCTTTCTTTCTTTCTTTCTTTCTTTCTTTCTTTCTTTCTTTCTTTCTTTCTTTCTTTCTTTCTTTCTTTCTTTCTTTCTTTTTGGCCAGAGGGTGCATGTGCGCACCAGAGAAAGACGAAGAGAGAGAGAGGGAAAGTGAGACAGCGCACCCCGCGGTGGATGGTGATACTGCCACCTCATTCTCCACCATCTCACTTTTCTTGAGATTTTGGACATGCATGTATATACATACTCGGTGTGTTTCTGAAACCACCAGGTCTGGAACTCGAACCACACATTGGACATGTGGGATCCAGTCACCTTAGCCACCGCACCACATGCTGGCCCCAGTTTCTCCATCTCTGTAGTAAGGAAGACAGCCTTTCATTTACTTGACTCTTTATGCTTTTGAACCTAATCATGCACTTGTAATAACTACTAATGGGTCTGTGAGAGGAGTCTTCAAAAAGTTCGTGGAAAGTGCTTGTTATGAAAAACTGCATGGCTTCAAAATTTTTTTGCAACAAAATTTAAAAATTGTACTTTAGGAGACCAGCAGTTAGCATAATGGCTATGTCGCTGGACTCCCATGTAGTCGACCACGGTTCACTTCCCGAACCCGGTGACTTGAAACTCACACCGAGCGTATGTGCGTGCGTGCCCAAGATCCTGAGAGGAGAATGGAGGAGAAGGGATTGTGGCGTGGCCATCCCCCTGGGGGGTGATTTCTTGCTTTCTGTCTCTGTCTCTCTCTCTCTGTCTGGCAAGTGCACACACCCTATAGCAAAAACCTCTCCAAAAAATAAAAAAGAAGAAAAGGAAAAAAAATTGTACGTTAGCTCCATTTTTCTTTTTAAAGAAAATCTTGTCAGAAGACATATGCATTTGTGAGAGAGAGATGAGGAGACAGGGAAGGGGAGAAAGAGGAAAAGGGGAAAAGCACTCCTTGATGGGACATAGTCCCATTTTTTCTCCATCCTGTCAGGAGTTGGGACAAGCACACTTACCCAGTGTGTTTTTTAAGCCACCAGGACCAGGATTCAAACTGTGTAGTTAATCATGTGGAGGCTGGCTCTCTCTTTTTTTTTTTTTTTTTTTTGGAGAGGTTTTCGCTATAGGGCGCGTGCGCTCGCCAGACAGACAGAGACATAGAGACAGAAAGCGAGAAATCACCCCCCAGGGGGGATGGTCACGCCGCAATCCCTTCTCCTCCATTCTCCTCTCGGGATCTTGGGCACGCACGCACACGCGCCCGGCGTGAGATTTAAGCCACCGGGTCCGAGACGCGAACCGCGGTCAACTACGTGGGAGTCCAGCGACATAGCCATTACGCCAACTGCTGGTTCCCGAGGCTGGCTCTCTTAAAGACCTAACTACAAGGCCAACCTTAAGTCTTTCTTTCTTTTTTTCTTTTCTTTTATGTTTTGTTTTGTTTTTGTTTTTGCTATAGGGCATGTGTACTCACAGGAGAGAGACAAAGAGAGAGAAAATGATAAATCATCCCCCAGGGGTATGGCCATGCCACAATCTCTTCTCCATTCTCCTGGGCTTTCAGGCATCTATGCACACATACCTGGCGTGATTTTCAAGCTGCTGGGTCTTGGACTCAAACTGTGATCAGCCAAGCTGTGGTTGGCCATGTGGGAGTCCAACACCTTAACTACCATGGCACCTGCTGCCTTCTTGAGGTTACTTCTTTTTAAATATAAGTCCAGTGCCTTAACCACCATGCCCTCTACTGCTCCCCTAACTCCATTTTTCAATGAACTTTTTGGAAGTACCTTCATATAGTGTTAGTGCCATGTGCTTGGGTTTATTAACTAAGCAGATCCAGAATGAAATCCTCTGGAATCTCTAACTCTCCGAGCCTATTTCTAGATCTGTAAAGTAGAATCAATGACCCGTTGAGGTTTGCGATGAGTGAATGGGATTCCCTAGGTGAAGTGAGGGTGACAGTCCTACTCAGACACTGTTCTTCCCCCTTCCTACTTCCTCTGAGCTCACCTGCTCTAGCGTTGAGTACAGAAGAATGAGCCCTAGGTATAGTTCTTGCAAATGTTTTGCACATTTCACTAAAACAAACAGAAAATTAACCAATGGTGGTAAATTGTCAGCACTGAGACCTGGATAGACGAGGGAAGTGAGAGAAGCGAAATAGAAATATCTTGTTAGGAATGAGGGCAAAGGTCACTCTTTTGGCCTTTTTCTGGACTTGTGGAAACATTCTTGGCAGTTCCAGAATGCAATAAAACTCCCAGAGGGGCGTGGAGGACACATGCTTCCTTAACCTCTCCTGCTCTCTGTTAACCTTTAACCCACTCTGGTGAGAGTAGCAAGTCAATCCCCTGTCTAGGTTCAATGACAGAACATACTGGGAAACCTGCTGATGTGTATATATCCAGAAATACATGTGAGTGTTGTTTGGGGCCAATAGACATGTACATCGCAGTGTGGATGTTGCTCTCTGAATGGCAGATCACGATGCTGTTACTCAGAGTCCTTGATGGATCATGGGGGGACCAAGCTCCCTTTACGAAGGCTGGTGGGGCGTGGGTAGGAGTGTGGGACTGAGTGGGCTCTCGGTTGCAGGATGCAGTGCAGAATGGACTTGACGGGGGCGGCAGTGGTGCCCCTTAGAGGTCCAGGAGTAGCTGGTACTGTGAGTACTTAGAGTGAGCCAGACTCGATGTCTTTATGTACATTCTCACTCTCATCGATTTATTCCTCTCCTCATAAATACTGTTTATTCTAATACATAACACAGACATTAACAATGCATAATTTAATTTATATGTTACTGGAAATTGAACTTTTTTTTTTTAACCTCACTGTTCATTTTTTTTTTTTTTTTTTTTTTTTTATCATAGGGTGTGTGTGCTCACCAGAGACAGAGAGAAAGCGAGAAATCAGTCCCTGGGAGGAATGGCCATGCCTTAGTCTCCTCTCCATTCTCCTCTGAATTTTGGGCACACACACACACAGGCATCTGGTGTGGTTTTTAAGCCACTAATTTAGAACTCGAGCTGTGGTTGGCCATGTGGGAGTCCAACACCTTAACTACCATGGCACCTGCTGGCTTCCTGAGGGTACATTTTTTTTAAAAATATAAGTATTTTTTAGAGTTACTTAATTCCATTTGTTATTGTTATTTTTTAATTTGACCAGAGAGACAGAAGGGGAAAGTGAGAAAGCAAGGCATCAGGTCCAGGACTCACACCACAGTTGGCCTTGTGGAAGCCCAACGCCTCAACTACCACGCCACCTGCTAGCCCCTCCAGGTTGCTTTTTTTTTTTTTTTTTAAGTTTATTTATATCTAACATGAGTGAGAGAGAGAGAAAGAGACAAAACACCCCTAAAAGAGTCTTACACTATGATCCACTCCCAGCTTCATCCAGTCCCAGACTGTGTATATAGTTGTGCCCAGTGGATTCAGAGAGGTCCCTGGAATCTCATGGGGGTCAGCCACACAGGGTATCGTATTTTATCACAGCAACACCATCCAGTCCCTGAAGATGAGCATGCTTATCTCTACCACTCAGGTCAAGCTTTGTGAGCTTCTGCCCCTTGTAGTTTGAAGCTATATTATTACACGTATAAAGAGAATTACTCTCTCATTATAAAATGCAAGAAGTGATTATGTGCTATAACTTAAAGATTCCCCCCTACGCTATACTGTCTCTGGCATGTCTCTGAACATGGAGTCTGTCACTAGAATGTGCCCTCTTTGTGGGTACGTGAATAACGGCTGCTCAGTAGAGGTAGGAAGATAGGATTCCCTTCAGTGGGCAGTCCTCTATATCCCACTTGTCAGGGACAGTTCTTCCATAAATCTTCTGTGAGGTGATAAAGACCATGGTCAGGGCATAGACTTTGAAATCAGGCAGATCAGCCTCTTACGTGCAGTGTGACGTGGGTAATTCACCAAACGTCTCTGAGCCTTCATTTTCTCTTCTATTATATGAAAAGGATGTTAAGCGCTAGCTGTGAGCCCCTGTGTGCTGTGTAGGGGAAACCAGATTTGATGTGACTTACCAAAGTTTGAGTCCCAACCCTGGTGGGTTACAAGCCAGGAACACACACTTGTGCCCAGGATCCCGGTGGGTGGAAAATTAGAGAAAAAGAATTGCAGCATGCTCCATTGCAGGGTGCTTCTTCTCCCCCTCTCCCTCCTTTTTCTCTCTTCCCCCCTCTCTTTTTGTGTATGTGCACACACCTTCTGACTTAATAAAAAACTTTTTTTTTTTCCTTTAAAGGATGTTGGAGCCAGAAGGTGGTATGGTGGTTTAAGGCACTGGAATTCCACATGCTGGTTGATTGCAATTCAAGTCTTGGACTTAGTGGTTTGAATCACTGTAGGCATGTGTGTGCACATGCCCAAAATCCCAGGAAGAGAATCAAGGGAAAGGATTATGGCCTGGCCATCCTCTCTGGGGGATGATTTCTCATTTTCCCTCTCTCTTTTCCTCTCTTACATACTCTCTCTGTCTCACTCTAGCAAGCACATGTGCCCTATAGAAAAAAAAAATTAAATGAAAGAATAGTAAGAGTACTATGGCTACTTTATTGGCACTGTGGATATATAAGGATTAACTGAAACTATTCAGGCACAGTACGCAATACAATACTATACGCTTGGCATATAGTAAATACCTAATCAATATTTTGAAAATAGTATATTATTACTGTCTTGTTAGTTATGTAGGCTCAGGTTAATATGCCTATATGCACTAAGCACCCCCACCATGGGCAAATGGTTGTGCAGGACAAGGAACAGATCCTAACTGGTCCTGGTTCCATGAGGCTTCTCCTTCTCTTACAGCACAGGTGTGTGTTGGGTTCATTGTGATTCTGATCATCTACAACTATTGGTTTCTGTACATCCCGTATTTGACGTGGCTTTACTTTGACTGGAGTACCCCAGAGCAAGGAGGCAGAAGATCTAATTGGGTCAGAAATTGGACTGTTTGGAGGTACTTTAAAGACTACTTTCCAATTCATGTGAGTAGAATTTGTTTTATAGAGTTATTATTTTAAATTGGCAGAAGAGTGGAAATTTGTTTTCATCCTATGTTTCTTAAGCTCTTCCCTTTTCAGGGGGAGTGTCTTGTTCTGTTGTGCTGCTATGACAGAATATCCAGAGTAACTGGATAACTTCTAGAAGAACACATGATTTCTCACCATTCTGGAGTCTGGGAGGTTCAGTAGCAGGTGGATATATGAGGATTAACTCGTATCATCCCATGGTGGGAAGTAGAAGGGAAAGAGAGTGAGAGTGCAAGAGGGGGCTGAACAGGTCCTTTTATTCATTAATTCATTTATTTTCCATTTTTGCTATAAAGCACTTGCCCTTGCCAGAGAGTGATAGACAGACCAAGAGAGAGAGGGAAAGTGAGATAGGGAACATGGCCATGCCACAACTTCCTGTCCTCCATTCTCTGTTCAAGATTTTGGGCATGCATGCGCATGTGCCAGGCATGTTCCTCAAGCCACCAGCTCTGGGACTCAAACTGTGAAGTTGTCTTTCTGGGATCTGGCTGCCTTAATCACCATGCCACCAGCTGGCCCAACATGTCCTTTTATAAAAACAAAAAAAAAAAAAACATTTTATAAAGAAACCACTCCTGTGATAGTGGCATTAATCCACTCCCTCTGCCCTCATGGCTGAAGACCTTTCCTCAGGCCCCACTCCTTAGCACTGTTGCCTTGGGATTAAGCTTCCAAGACATCCAAATTATAGTAAGGAGAAAGCCTACAATTTGGCCCAAGTAACTAAAAGAGCTCCAAGCTGAATTGACAGAACTCAGAAGGCTGAGTGTGAGGGGATCTGAGCCAGAAGATAGTTTATGAGTTTGGAAATAGCTACGGACCAAGGAACTAAAACCAGTCATGTTCTCCACCCTCTGACACAAAAACTAATCACTAGTCCTTTTGTTGCTCATTGGATACTAATAAGGAAAAAAAAAATTAATGTATATATCACTATGAATGTCTGTAGCTCATCAAAACTCAAGATTTGGATCTGAGTCACAACTATGTATTCGGGTTTCATCCCCATGGAGTACTCGTGGCTGGAGCCTTTGGAAATTTCTGCACAAATTATTCTGACTTCAAGCAGCTGTTTCCGGGCTTTACTGCGTATCTACACGTGCTTCCGGTTTGGTTCCGGTGTCCTCTCTTCCGAGAATACCTCATGAGTAGTGGTAAGTGATGGTGGTCTGCGGTCCATTGAGGTGGCAGGAGCACACGGGATGTGCCCTCCCAAACCCGGTTGGGTTTACAGTCCCCTAGAGTAAACTGGGTCGTTTGTCCTGCCTGGCTCTTCCTGCTCTGTCTGGATGTTTCTTACCTGCCCTCCCATGCCCCCAACTCCCAACTCCCCCTTAGACTAAAGGGCCAGGAAGACATGGGCTGTGTCTTTTTGTTGTTTTCCTAATCTACATATTTGGAATGGAGTCTGCAAAATAAGAATGTTAGGTCAGCCCTGGTGATTAAAGGAGCCAGATCCCACATGACTGACCAGGGTTTGAATTCTGGTCCCAGTGATTTGAAAAATGTGTGTGTGTGTGTGTGTGTGTGTGGGTGGGTGTGTGTGGGTGTGTGTGGGTGTGTGTATGCCCCAAATCCTGAAAGGATGCTGGGAGACAAAGAATTATGGTGTGATCGTGTCCAGTCGAGGTGGGAGAATGCCTTCTCCCTGTCTCTCTCATTCTCTCTGTCTTTCTCTCTGGCAAGCGTGTATGCCCTATGGCAATTAAAAAAATAAATATTAATTCACTAAATGCATTTTATATATCCAGATATGGAAGCAAAAATCATAGATCAAATGAGTGATAAATCACACTCTTGGAGAGGTACTTTTTATGCTTTTATAAATATTAGCAATGAAAAATGTCCTCCATTGTGTCTTGAAGAACTGGCAGTGATAGAAACTAAACATATTCAACTTGTTTTTTCTTTCCTGATTAAATATAACTTGTTCAGAAATGAGTCCCTTTTACTCTGCTACTCTGAACCAGAAGACTCTGATTAGCGACACCATAATTCTGCCAATTCTGAGCCTAATTAATTTGAAATCCTTTAAAGATACCATATAAATGTGTTCAGAGAGCTGATCTTGTGTTAACAGCTCTCATTTCAACTTAAAAGTTTTCATTTGTTTGGTTTTCCAGCTTGACTAAGTTATCGACTAACCACAAACTGCAGTAACTTACGTACTGCTTTATTTGTGAGCATTGTATAGTTAATTGTCCTTTTCTTTGAATTTTTTGGATACAAGGAAGAGTAGGTAGACTCTGAAAAGCTGTAATTTCAAGATAATTAAGTGGCATATTCATGGTAGAATTTTCTATGGTCTCCTATATTTTCACTTGTTAATTTTTTAAGATACTATTATTTTATACCTGGTTGGGAGTGTTCACTCACCCATCAACAGAGCTTAGTCCTTCTGGGCTACAGGTTACAGTAGAGGGTGCACTAACCTCCTCCACAAACTACTGAAAGGTCTAGCATGTGACCTCTAGAGGGCACACTAACTCCTCTAAACTATTGGTGTGGGGGGAATCCCTTCTCTTCCTTACTTTATTTTTATTTTTATTTTCTTTCATTTATTTATTTTTACATTTTTCCACAAACATTTACTTTGCATAGCAAAACATTTTAACCCATACTCCATAATTCTTGACAGTTTACAAACAACTTTCAAAATTTCCAAAATACTGAATTTTAAAGATAATGTTCAAAATATGTCTTATAATTTTGTATAATTTTATAACTCTATAACAACAGAAGCAGTATGGTTTTAAATATATATATATAGATATATACAAATATATCTATATAGATAGATAGATAGATAGATAGATATGTATATGGGATAGTGTTTTATAAAAGAAAGAAAATTAAAAGATTTAAAACGTTTCTCACTTTCCCTTTCTCTCGCACGGTCTCTTTGGTCAAATTAAAAAATAATAACAAATAAAATTAAATAAAGAAAAAAATGTTTTTAAAAAAGGAGATTTAAAAAAGGACTAAAAGACACAGAAATATTTTTACTATTTGCTGATTCAAAGTATAGCCACAGATGAATCTGAGTAGTGTGTTTGAGAGACGTGGGGCAAAGTCAGTCACGAAGTAGGTATATCCCTCTCTCTCCACGGCCATGGCAGACACCGCAATCAATCCTGGCATTTTTCTCCATGTAGTGCCCCATAGCCACTGCCATTTACTAGAATTGGCATTTGAGGTAAAACATATCTGCTGCCACTGGCTTATGACATCCCTTTTTCCCTTGCTACAACCTTCAGTGTCCTGAAAACTACATAAGGATATCTGAAGTTACATCCAATGAAGATTTAAGCTGTCTTCACCTCTAAGCTTAGAAAGTTCATAACGCCTTCCAGAACCAGCTTCCCAGGACACACCCTGGTCTGGTGTTGCCCTTCTGCTCTCAACCGGCCTCCAGGCTGTCTTTCTGGATGTGAAAGACTGGCAGGATGTGCACCAGCACATGGAGTAAAACCAAGAGGGGTTCCAAGGTCCTTCGCTCACAGGTGTCTGTTTTGCTGTCACCCAAGAGGTTTCTGTAGCTGTAAGTCATTTAAAATCCCACCTCAAACCCATTCCTCTTGGCCCATTTTGGTGTGTCCATCCTCACCAGGCCTTAGCCAGAGCAGACTCGGTGTTTCGAGACTCGCGCTCCTTTCTTTCTATCTGTTAAGACCAGGCAGGTAGAGGGAACCGGATCACAAAGGCCTGATGTACCACACCGAGGACTTTGGATTTTACCTTGTAGGTCAGCCACAGGGAACTCATAAGGAATTTTGAGCAAAGAAGGGACTGACTGGGTTTTGAATGTTAGAATGTTAGATCATGCAGGCAGCAGCTAGGAGACAAGCTGGAAGGAAATGAGCCTGGAGACTGATGGAAAGAGGCTGCAGCAGTGACTGTGAGGGAGAGGTGATAAGGGCTAAACTAGCACAGTGACAGTGTGACGCTGGGAGTTTAGAAGAGGAGATCACTGTGAAAACTATTTGATGAACCAGATTCAGCCAGACATAGTGATTGCTTCCTTGGCAGAAAGGCAGCAATACTTTGCTATTGCTGTCATCAGCGTCTTGCATGGTGCCTGCGCTGCAGCAGGTGCTTTTGAATGAATAAGTGACCAGTCAGTGTGGTGACTACGCGAGGGAAAGGCGTGTTTCTGACTTAGGTGTCTGGTAGATGATGGTCCCCTTCACCTTGATAGGGAATATTGGAAGACGAACCATGTCGAAAAATGTAATGCACTGGGTTTGAAGACATGGGATTTGAGATGTCTCTGAACTATTAAGGCAGAGATGTCCCCTGGGCCATGGGATTGAAGGTGCAGGCCTGGAGGCTCAAGAGGAAGATTTCTTAGGATGTGACTTGGGGAAACTCAGCACACATAAGTGGCGATTAGTTGCACAGAGCAGAATGTCACCCCTTGAACTCAGGGAAAGTTCAAACCCTCCAAGGCAGGCTTAAGTTGGTGTTCAACCTTCTAACCCACCACCCTCTGCCTTTTCTCCTAATAGAGTTGTTGGCTATTCTGAATCTTGTCTTAATTTAACATTTCCCCTGTAGTAGAAACCCACAGTGACATTAGCGTATCACTGCCTTAAGGGATAAAGTGTGCTGTCTCTATAAAGTTTATGTAACACATTCTTTATGACTAAATTAAAAAAAAAAACAGGTAAGACATAGAATGGACAGAAGGGTAACACATTAAAAAGCAATTATCTCTGAAATGTGGGTCATTAATGGTTCACATTTCTGTTTTTATATTTTCCTTTATTTTCTTCCAAGAATCCATATCACATTTAAAGTCTGGACAGGAATCAGGCAGCCTGTGACCTGAGTGGTAAAGGATTCTACATAACTGGCCATGTAGTTCCAGTCCCAGGCCCAGTGGCTTGAGAAACATGCTGAGTGCATGTGAGTATATGCCCAAAATCCCAAAAAGAAGAGAGTTGGAAGGAAAGGACTTGTGGTCTGACCATTGCCCATGGAAGATGAGTGCTTTCTCACTCCCCCCCGCTCTGTCTTTGTCTATCTCTGGCAGGCACACGTACTCGCTGGAGTAACCTTTAAAGTTACTTTTACGTGGAAAAACTCAATACACAGGTTGAACAGTTATGGAATTGTCTTAAACAATTTACCAAAGTCAGACCATATATTTTTAACATGTTTAGTGATTTGGCAAGTGCTGTAGGTTATTTGTCAAACATATGAATTTTTTTAAAAAGAATTATTTATTTAACTCTATTTATTCATTGACTTATTTTTAATATGACCAGAGAGAGACAAACAGAGAGGGAAAGTGAGAAAGCAAGCCACCAGGTCTGGGACTTGAACCACAGTCAGCCATGTAGGAGTGTCCAGTGCCTTAACCACCATACCACCGCTGGTCCCCATCAAACATCTGAATTTTAAAAACCATTTGCATTATACATTTAGGCATGGAAAATAATAATCTATATAGAATATCTGGTAGCCGGCCACCTGTGTTCAGAAAACGTACTGCCACCTTTTGAAGAATATATTTTATGGTTCTGAACAAGGTTCTGCCACCACATATAGTTGTGTAGGTTGTACACTGACCACCTGGTGGGGGGAGACCCTTCTACTTAGAATGAAATATGAATAGGGCCCCGCAAAGTTGAGCAGTGTGTAGCCTACTCAAATACGTGTGAAGCCTAGTAGACTTTAAAGGTCTAACTCATCACCTACCAAAAGGTTAGCTGTTATTAATGGAATACATTACCAAAGACTAGGCTATGAAAAAAATGACAAACATGCCAAATACCCCAAAGGTAAGCAGTGCAGGAGATTTTGTTAAATGTTTGCCATAGAATATTATGATAATTTTTTTTACATTTTTGCTATAGGGCTCATGCACTCACTGGAGAGAAACAAAGGCAGAGAGGGAAAGTGAGAAGTCACCCCCAAGGGGGATGGCTCCACTGCAGTCCCTTCTCCTCCATTCTCCTCTTGGGATTTTGGGTACACACACACGTGTGATTTTCAAGCTGCCAGGTCCAGGACTTGAACCATAGTGAGAATCCGGTGTTTTAATCACCACATCACCTGCTAGCCCATTTTTTTTTTTTTAAGTTTTAAAAGAGGATGATTAGTTATACCTGTTGTTATGTTCACTAAAGGGCCAGTTTCAGTTTCCAAGAAAAGTGTGTCCTACGTGCTGAGCAAGGAGGGAGGTGGAAACATTTCAGTCATTGTCCTTGGGGGTGCCGAAGAATCACTGGATGCTCATCCTGGAAAATTCACTCTGTTCATCCGCCAGCGGAAAGGATTTATTAAAATTGCTCTGACCCACGGGTAAGTGGCTTTTTGTTTAAGGTAACTGGGCCAAGAAAGTTATTATTGGGACCAGCAGTTAGCGTAGTGGCTATATTGCTGGACTTCCATGTAGCTGACTGCAGTTTGAGTCCTGGACCTGGTGGCTTAAAACTCACGCCGGGTGCATGTGGGTACATTCCCAAGATCCCGAGAGGAGAATGGAGGAGAAGGGATTGTGGCATGGCCATCCCCCCTGGGGGGTCATTTCTCGCTTTCTATCTCTCTATCTCTCTCTGTCCGTCTGGCAAGCACACGTGCCCTATAGCAAAAACCTCTCCAAAAAAAAAAGTTATTATTAAATGAACATAAATAATTTTTCTAGCCCCTTAAAAACCTCCAAATCAGTATTATAATAAAAGCAAGTGTGAACGTTCTTGGGGAAAGGGATATGACCATGCCATGGCATCCAGAAATGAAACTCATCTTTCAAAGCAAAGCAACAACAGAGCCAGCCCCATGGCCTAGTGGTTAAGGGAGCCAAATCGCCATGTTGACTGGGTAGTCCAAGTTCCATATTTGGCAATTTGGGAAACACGGCAGGCATGTGTGTGTGCATGCCCAAAATCCTAAAAGGAGGGAGAAACAGGAGGAGAGATTCCAGCGTGACCATTCCCATGAGGGGTGCTTTCTCCTCTCCCTTCCTCTGTCCTTCTCTCTCTCTCTGGTGAGCACATACACCCTCTAGCAAACAAACAAGCAAACAAAAAACAAGACCCCAAAGTTGAGAAATGTATATACAGTGTACATTTCCAGCCAGACAAACAAATGAGCAATGGCCAAAACTACAATGAGAGAAGCTTCTAGAAACCTTGATTTTCTCTAGAATGAAACCCCATCAATGGCCAGCTAGTTGAAGTACCTCCCCAAAGCACTTCAAGTATTTGGTAGTTTCTATACTCAGAACATGAAGTTGGCAATGGAAGGAGGCTTGGGGGCTGGCAGGAGTCATGGCGATTAAGGGCACTGGACTCCCACATGGCCAACTGTGGTTGGAGTCCTGGATCTGGCGGCTTGCTTTCTCACATTCCTTCTGCCTCTCTCTCTCTCTCCCCCCATCTCTGGTGAAATTAAAATAAATAAATAAGTGAAGTTAAATAAAGTAATTCTTTAAAGGAAAAAAAAAAAGGAAGAGGCTTGGGCACATTTAAGAATTTTCAGGCATTTGTTGCATTAGCTGGACAGAGTCAATTATTTAAATCCTTTACATTTAAAAGTCTTTTTCTTCCCTTTTGTTATTTGTAGTGCTTATTTGGTCCCAGTGTTTTCTTTTGGTGAAAATGAACTGTTCAAACAAGTTAGCAACCCTGAAGGCTCATGGCTTCGAACCGTGCAAGAGAAGATGCAGAAGATCATGGGGTTTGCGCTGCCGCTGTTTCATGCCAGGGGAATTTTTCAGTACAATTTTGGCTTCATGCCCTACAGGAAACCTATCCACACTGTTGGTATGTGCATAAAATAAGGAAAGTTATTACCTTACTTTAAACAGTATATATCGTTACTGACTGAGGTGTAAGAGAAGTGGCTTTGAGCACAAACTTCCTAAAATAAGAACCCTGTAGATGTTATCTGAGCTTCATTTATGGTATGCTTTTTGTTTATGGAGTGACTACATTGGAATCAAAATTGACCTCTTTCAAGAATACTGCTATTAAACTACAGGTAAAGTTTAACTTTAGAGATAAAGTTCCTAGTACTCTATCAGGAATCTATTTCTGTGCCAACAGATTATCACGTAGCAATTCTTGGGTGAATAAGTTACATCAGAGTCTATGAATAGATGAAAAATGGTGGATGATAGAGGTCTTCATCATATTCAGTTCCCGTAAGTATCAGTTTCTAATAGCAAAAGTAGTTTTCTTACATGAATCCTAGCATAGAATAATTTTAAGAAGTTCCATGTTAGGGTAATTGAGATGAAGGAAGAGGGTGAAATCCATGGTACTGTGATAAAAGGACAGAGGAGGAGGCCGGCTGGTGGTGTGGTGGTTAAGATGGTTGGATTCCACATGGCTCCTGTCTGGTTCGAGTCCTGGTCCCAGGGGCCTAAAAAGCATGTGCACACACATGCCCAAAGCCCCAAAAGGAGAATGGAGGAGTAAGGATTACTGCCTGACCACTCCCTCTTTCTCCCTTTCTCTCTTTCTTTCTGTCTCTCTCTGACAACCTCACATGTCCTCCAGCAAAAGAAAAAGGAAAAAAAAAAAAAAAAAGAAAGTAATGACCTCCTCAGGTTGAAGGGGGATTGGAAGGCTAAAAATGAGTATGTACAGGGCCAGGGACTAACAGTAGGATTAACCAATGCTATTGTATATACTTCATGTGAAACGGATAGCCAATGAAATTCAAATATAGGCAGTTGTTTTAGATCTGTTTCACTAGAATAGAATTTTGCTACTGACAGTTATAAGAGCTTTGATTTCACGTGCGGTCCCTTGTCACTATTTTTAAATGCTATATTTAGCTCCAGTGGATGTTAACAGACTGCTGATTGGTTAGTGTAAGAGGAATACCGAGATAAATTTGCAGGTTGGTCAGTGTAAGAGGAATACCGAGATAAGTGTGCAACTTTATTTTTCAAGACAAGCTGGTTACATTTCTTTGTCATAGTATTAGTTAAACATTTTTGACCTTTTATGTTCAGAGTACTATTATTTGTACAGCTGGTTCCCTCCTTTTTTCAATACTACCATAGTACCAGTATTATCAGTTTGAGGGGATATAAAGAAAATTGTAAGACATGATTTTAGGAACTACAAGCTAAATTAAAGGTAATTTACATACACATAAAATAAGTTGTCGATAGTGAAAGCAAGTGTAATCTCTTAAGTTAAATGATTACAGTTATTACCTGGTTGGGTTAACCTTTTTTTATTAAAGAATTATTTATTTTATTTTGTTTATTTATTCATTTATTTTTAAAATTTGACCAGAGAGAAAGAGAGAGAGAGAGAGAGAGCACGCAAAAGAGAGAAAGCAGGCTACCCGGTCCAGGACTTGAACCATGGTCAGCCCTGTGGGAGTATCCAGTGCCTTAACCACCACACCACCTGCTGATCCCAAGCTTTTATTAAAAAATTAAATGATTTGCTATTGGGGATAGCCTGGTTATACCTCTACTGAAAAATAATTAATTGGTCAAGGGTCAGATGAAATTATTGAATGTGATTTTGATGCCAAGACTAGAAAAACACATTCATGGCTGGCCAATGTCCTTCCCTTAAAGATTCAGAAGAGAACATGGCTTCAATCCACCTTCTGTTTATATGCCAGAGGATTAAAATGATCACTCTTCTGTAGCATTCTCGGTTCCCCATTATTATTTGAAGTGTTTTAAAAATAGGAATTTCAGGGATCAGCAGTTAGCGTAATGGCTATGTTGCTGGACTCCCATGTAGTCGACTGTGGTTCGCGTCCCGGACCCGGTGGCTTAAAACTCACACTGGGCGCATGTGCGTGCGTGCCCAAGATCCCGAGAGGAGAATGGAGGAGAAGGGATTGCAGTGTGGCTATCCCCCCGGGGGGGGGGGTGTTATTTCTCGCTTTCTGTCTCTCTATATCTCTCTGTCTGTCTGGCGAGCGCACGCACCCTATAACAAAAAAAAAAAAAAGGGAATTTCATAAGAACTCAGCTGTCATGATCGTGGGACGTAACAGTGGAAGTCAACGTGATTTAAAGTACCCTGATCTGTGTGATCCAGACTCTCATGACTACGTGTATTGGGAGACTTTCCTTTACTCGAAATACACAAGTGGAGGGTAGGCTATTTACAATCTCATAAACTAAAATAAAGTCATGTGTCAATAAAATACAAAGAGATGAAAACACAATACGATGCTGAAACGACAATAGAAATTACCACGTTTGTATCTATTTTAGGTCAGTGTGCTTGAAATCCGAAGTTGCTTCCTCACTGACTCCCAGCCTGTGAGGATTCAGATGGTCTATCCCACCCAGGCAGGATTCAGACGGCCTCACAGGGCAGCAAGTTATTGGGTGGCCCAGGAAGTCGTGATGCATTTTTGCATAAAACATAAAATTAATAAAATAAAGAAATACATCATGACTTTCCCAGTGACCTAATATTTTGTGGCCCCTCTCTTCCCCCTTTGACTTAATTTGGAGATTATCAATTTAAGCACTACCTCACATAATAATGTTGGAGACAAAAACCAGCCCAGGCCTGAGAGACAAGCCCGAAGGGAAGAATGCAGAAGGGAGTTAAAAGCAACCCCCATTCCCAGACGGGAAGCCGCAGGGACTCATGGTCAACCAGATGGAGCTCCAGGCATGGGCTGTGTCTCAAGATGGATGACACTCCAAAAGCCAAAATATTTTTTAAGTACTAACTTAACGACAGCTATCAATCTTGTATCAAGAGTCTAGCATACAAAAAATGTCATGTATATTGTACACTGTTCTTTATATCTAAACTCACTCACTGCTTATCTGATTTAATTTATAATAAACAGGCTCTGCTCTGGCACAGTTTGCTTCTACTCCAAGAGAGCTTTAGCCCCCTGCTTTGACCTTTTCCTCATTTCTTTTCTCAATCCTTCATGACACCCTACATTTCTCACATAGTAAGAACTCAATAAATATTGGTTGGATTTATCCCATAATAAATCATCACTCAATCTATAATGCTGTTACTTACAGGTGTCCAGGGAAGCCCAGATTCTCCATCCTGTAAAGTTTTCCCACACAACTTTCAGAGCACTCTTCATCAATGACCTCAACTAGAGCATTTATTTCCTTTTTAATGTTTCTCATGACCACTATGATGTTTTCTCTGTGAATGTCCTCCTATGAGCTAGATCCCCTTAAAAATGTGTAGCCCAGGGACCAGTAGTTGGTGTATGTTGCTGGACTCCCATGTAGTCGACCATGGTTCGAGTCTTGGACCTGGTGGCTTAAACTCACACTGGGTGCATGTGTGTGCGTGCCCAAGATCCAAAAGGATAAGGGATTGCGGCGTGGCCATCCCCCCTGGTGTGGGGGGGAAGTGATTTCTCGCTTTCTCTCTCTCTGTGTCTCTCTGTCTTTCTGGTGAGTGCACACACCCTATAGCAAAAACCTCTCCAAAAAAAAAGTGTAGCTCAGCAGATGGCATGGTGGTTAAAGGCATTGGATTCCCATATGACCAATGCTGGTTCGAGTTCCTGACCTGGTGGCTTGTTTTCTTGCTCTCCCTTTCTCTATGTCTCTGTTTAGTCAAATTAAATAATAATAATAATAAATGGAATTAAATAAATAAATTATTATTATTTTTTTACTGTGTTCCCACTGGGACCAGTGGATGGCATAATGGTTACATCACTGGACTCCCACATGGTCAACCACTGTTCGAGTCCCAGATTCGGCAGCTTAAAACTCACTCTGGACACATGTACATTAGTGCCCAAAATCCTGAGAGGAGAATGAAGAAGAAGGGATTGCAGTATGGCCATCCCCCAGGGAGTGATTTCTCACTTTCAGTCTCTCTGTCTCACCAGCAAGTGCACAGGCCCTATAGCAAAAACAAATATCTCTTCAAAAAAAAAAAAAGTTTAAAATATATTCCAGCAATCCCAAACTGCCATAGTTCCAATTACAGGTGTGCAATTCAGATACAAATGTGCAATCGTATTTCTCAAGATAAGCTGGCTACATTTGTTATTTCAAGTAGTACGCAGTGACTTTCTGCATATTTCTTCAGCCCAACCCATCAGGTTTCTTGGGTCTTTCATCAAAATTCTTTTTTATCTTTGCTAAGAGGCATTTTCAATGAGCATAATTTGAAAAGAAGCTACTATGGGGTGGTGGTGGGGGATGTCTTTAAAAAGTTCCCAGAAAGTACATACTATGAAAGCATGCATAGATTTCAAAATTCTTGCACCAAAATGAACTCATACTTTTTAAAAATATATATATATATTCATTTCTAAAATGACAGACAGAGAAAGAGAGGCACCCCTAAAGGTCTTCACTAGGACCCACCCCCAGTCTCAGCCGGACAGGATCACAGGGCGCACAGAGCTGGTGTCTTCAGGGAGGTCCTGAGATGCAGACCTTTCCAATGCAGGTCTAGTTGCGTTCCTGCTGCTCCACCACTGGCCCTACTCTTGTTCCTGAATTTCATTGGTCAGTGAACTTTTTGAATTACCCTTCATATATATTTGCTTTACACATTTCACAAATAGTATATAGTTTATATCTCCTTTCTTTCTTTCTTCTGTCTTTCTTTTTCTGTTTTAGAGAGATGTCTGCTATAGGGTGCATGCACTTGCCAGAGAGACAAAGAGAGAGAGAAAGTGAAAAATCACCCCTGGGTTATGACCAGGCACAATCCCTTCTCCTCCATTCTACTCTCAGGATTTTGGGCATGGGTGCACATGTGCACGGCCTGAGTTTTAAGCTGCCAGGTCCGGGACCCAAACTGTGGCTGACTACATGGGAGTCCAG